AGCCTGGTTCCACACCTCCACGCCTTCTTCCAGGGCAATCCGGTCCTTATCCACCTCCCCTTTGCGCTTCTCCAAGATCCGTATCTCGCTCCCCCACCAGTCCCTCGCCATGTCGATCGTCCTGCGCTCCGGTCGGAGGCGGAAGAACTCCGCGCCGCCAGTAGGCTGCTCCACCTCGCCTGAGATGTCGTTGCCGTCTTGGTCCCGCTTCGGCGGACGGATTGCCTCGACATCCAGCGGCTTGACAGGCGGCCGCTTCAGCAGGTACGAGACATCGGCGTCGACTTCCTTCAACGCGTTCCTGTAGCCGCTCAGGCCCGCCTCTCGCTGGTTGATGACGTCCTCTATCCGGTGTTCGAGCGACCTCTTCTGCATCTTCAGACCGGCGAGACGACCCTCCAGCTCGGTGATCTCGCGAGAAACTGCACTCCTCTCTCGCTCTAAATCCCTCAGCTCCAGGCCGAGTGGTTCTCCACCGCTGCTATGGACCCTTAGTTCGTCCGCAATGTCAACCCTCCGGGAAGCAAGCCGCTTAAGCTGTGCCAATGCCTTCTTGCGAGCTGCCAGAGCTGAAGTCAGGGCGGCGTCCTCCTCGGCCTTGAGATCGGCCAGATAGGTCATGTTCCGCGCCAGAGCCTTCCGAGCAGCGGGTAATGACATCGGTTTCCGCCGTGGTTGTCGCACCGGTATGACGACCCGCCCGTACTGCGATTTCCGTGGGTCATCAAAGGCCACGTGCCGTCCGTTCCGGCTATGTGTAGAGGACAGAGAGGTCCCGCCGTTCGTGGGTGTGGCGCTGCCGGCATCACTGGCGTCGGAGCGGGTGTCTGGTCTCGGTGTCGGGTCCAGATAGGCAGCTAGTCCGGCGGACTGGGCATCGAGGATGTGTTGTAAGTCCTTCTCCAACGCTTTCTGCCGCTGCTGGAGATTGCGCCAGAACGTGTCCGGTTCGTAGTTCTGGCGGTCGACACCACGACTTATATGTGACGATGAAGCACCCGAGGCACCCGCTCGGTCGAAGAGCACGCTGCTGACACTCGTAAGGGCATTGCGGGCGAAGGAGGCGGTTGACTCGTGGTGACGGTTTCGCGGGGGAGACCGAGAGGTTATCGAGTCCTCTTCGTCCCGGTATAGGTGGGTGGACACAGCTATCGGGGGCGGCGGGCCGGTGAAGAGGAATCGAGACGCGGTCTTGGTCTTGGAGTCGGAGCCAGCGGAGCTTGCATGGTCACTGTATCTGGCGGACGACGAAGGGCTCCGGCGTCCCGAGGGGCTCCTATATCTCGGTCGTGATGGGTCAGAGGAGAGCAGGCCCTCGGACTCGGGTCGTGGAGACAAGTCGGACATGTCATACTCGTTCGGCTGTCGGCGGAGAGGGGGGCTTGACGGGTTGTGGAAGGGTAGGACGTGTTCGTCTTTGCGGGAGAGTGAGAGACGCGGTAGAAACGTTGATTTGGATGTCATGTTTGCGTTTTGTTCAAAAGGTTTGCTCAATTCCGGAGAAGTGAAGCCGTCAGCCCTCGTTTAGAGAGAGCGGTACGGATGTGTGTTGCTCCCTGTTTCCGGTGGCATAGAGCTGTTGTAGCTTGAGTTATGCGGAAACAGATGGCTTAATGTTGGACATGATCAGAAGAAGCGTTAGTCTTTGTTGTGGTAGATACCTTAAGGATGGAAGTTGAAGAGTCGAAGTTGACAACCTGGAAGTTTATCGTTCACGGGATGCTGGCATGTGCTTCGGATTGCTCCTGCCTGCTGTGTTGATTTGAGACAAAGCTCAAAGCTTGTGACGCCATTGGCCCGCAGTCACAAGCAGGTGCTACCCCTGCTAGCTCCAGTGTAACCCTTACCCTGGGAGCTTGGGCCGCGCCTACCCCCCACCGCATGCATTTCTCCACAGGCAACCAAACTTCAATCTCCATCGTCACAGACACATATTTTACGGTGCTGCAAACGTCAAGTACTCCTCGATGCTCTACGGAGTATAAGCCTATACGCCTCCTCACTCACTCGACTCCGATGTCTCAAACAGCCTGGCCCGATGGTCACTTTCCAGTCCTTCAGCCCTTCATGAAAAGTCAACATTCGCCATGTAAACACTGTATGACTCCGTCGACGACCACCTCGACCACGAGATTGGAACAACCTTCCCGCTCGGGTCATAGTTGCCGTATGCATGGAAGGCATAGTTGTACCCGCCGGTGACCGGTGGCATGGTGTAGATGGCCTTCGGTGTCGACCAACCCTTGGACAGGTCGGCGCCGGTGTTGTATGAAAGGTATACTATGCCGCATAATGGTCAGTCACGTCTTTTTGCTGGGCTTGACACTGGATGAGACTCACCGTTGGCGTCTGTTGCCGGAGTATCAGACATGAACAGGAGGATGTGGCAGCCGTAGTACGGACTGAAGAACAGATCCCTTGTCCCAGGACCATATGCAACCCCATCCAAGCTCTCCGACCAGTGGAAGATGTTTGCTTTGCCGTCATCATCATATGCAGGAACAGCCGCTGTCCATTCAGTGCCACTCCAGAACTGATAAGCCCCGCGGACCGACCAGCTTCCCTGTGGGACGCGCGCCATCCTCAAGCCGTTCACGCCGTTGTCTAAGTGGGTGATGCTCGCGAACATGTATAGATAACCGTCGACCCCGACCAGCGTCCCGAAACTCCCATACAATGGTTCGCCCTTGACGAAGAGCGATCGGGTGAGCCGCTCTACAACGGGTCGATCGCCGCTCAGCGTGATCTTGATGCCGGTATTGTACAGATCACCATTTCTGCCGGCGGCAGACTCAGTCCGATTCACGACGACTGGGAAGGAGACACCGCAAGTCCCATCGCAGAGCGTGGCAATTCCCTGGTTTGGCCAGATGGCCGCCTTTTGGCTATCCTCATCTGGAAAGTAGGGGATCTGCTCGAAAGGTCCCTTCTCTGCGGTGCCGAAGTCGCACAGCCGGTTGACACTGTCGCTGTTGCAGCCGGACAGAGCGATGGAGTTGGACGTGAAGTTGCGCCAGTGAGCGGTGTTATCGACATTTGGGACGGCTCCGTCGGTGTAGATGCCGTCAGAGAAGATGAGGATATCTTTGCCGTTGATACGGCCACCGCCGCCGCCGTCGTGGTAGATGTTGCTGATGTTGGAGGTTGTACGGTCGGGCGGCCCGATGCTGGCCATGTTGTTCTTGGTGTATATATCACTGTTTGTCTGGGTATGCTGGGTGCTGGGTGCTGAGGTAGAGCTTGCCTCGGGATTTTCATTACGAGGAGAGATCGGAGAATGCTCGCACAGGGACAGGGACACGTCTCTAGGCGGTAACTCGGCTCGATGAGTGAATCATCACCGCGAATTTTCCCAACAACTGGGTTCTTCTACCACAGCTTTGGTGGCATGTGGCCCAGCGTGACAGTTAGATGTCATGGCGAGAAGGTGCCGCCACTACCAACAACCTGGAGATATTCTCGTCGCCAACGCTTGTTGGTGACTTCGTGTGATTGCCAATGATGACTTCGTGATGACGGGAGCATCTCGGAGAGTTCCTCCTCCAGCGGTGTCTTCATCTTATGGAGCATCGAAGAAAGGAGCATATGCAGATGATGACACCCCGAGGGTCGGACGATGTGGAAGAGCGGCTCCGCATGATCACAGGTTTTCCGGTAGAAAAGATGAGACGAGGCGGATCAAGATCATCAACCTGTGGAAGACACCTTAACACGGCTTTGAAGTACTGTTTGCGATGCTGAGGCATGTATGCAGACACTGTTGGTGTCCCAGGAGGTACGTACTTCCGACCATGTTATTAGCGAACAGGGGCCAGGGGTTATCCAACCCCCAAGGACGCTAGCGGGAAGATCCCGCCCGTTTGCGTCCCCACGGACCCAACTATGCCATTCCTGGACGTCCAACGTCGAAACTCTCTTTCATCAGCACATCATACCCGGTAGCCTTTGTGTTTCGTCACATTCTCTCTCTGCCCTCGCTCATACACTTTGTTGGTTTCCCTTTGTCTATGGTGTCTGTCAGTTGTGTTGGTCCAGCTCCTGGCTTGTTGCCGTATGACTGCGACTTACGGACGGACTGGCAAGGACTGTCTGCTTCCATTATTGTACGTCCCTCTGTTTCGCTGTGTTGGAATATCTACGCCGGGCGCAGTAGAATATGGGGGGAAGGATGGATGCGGTGACGGTTAGCGAACCCTATCCCTGAGCCGTCTCTACGAGGCTGCATCACGTGACCTGCGGCGCAGGCCCGCCGCAGCCCGCAGCCCCTATCTCGTGAGGGCCTCATCTCCCTCCTTACCACTTAGACCAGTCAAGAATATACAGCCGTTTTGACCACCACTTTGCGATGCCCTCTACAGAGGGCACCTACACCTACACGTATACGTGTATCACAACCCTGGTGATACCAACACGCTGAATTGCTCGTGTTGTCTGGTGTTACCCAGGTATATTTTCAGATGTCGGATAATGATGCTCGCCATATCTCTCATGGAGCAGAGATGATATAAGCTGACAGTGGATGCATGAAGTGATGGCGTTTCCGGGGGACATACCGGCCGGGTCCCCTTTGTCCTGTCTTTGAAAGCTACCTGACGCATTTCTCTTCTATTATGGGATTAAGTGGCCCGTCATTCATACGGCATCATTCTGTATGTGATCTATCATCTGCTGTATTAGCAGCATCTCCGTGGAAGGCTGGGGTCATATCACTTTAGTCGAGTGCCTGTGTGCTAGTGGTATGGGCCGATGGTGTTAGTCGGCTCCGATCATTAGGTTTGTGCATGCAGCATGATAGCGAGATGCTGTTGTTGCCCTAACAGAGTGTAACCTTACACTATAGGTGCGTGAGTGAAGGAGGTGAAGGAGATGGCGGGGTTTGGGTGGTAAGGGTGGTTGGGCGGTCTGTGTGCCTGGTGGTGGTGGGTCCCCTTTGTTTACTGACGGCCCTTATAATGAATGATTCTGACCTACCATTTCGTAATTCGGAAATCAGAAGAAGCTCTTCGGTAGCTCAGTGGGTAGAAGCCTGGCTTAACACTCCCTCACATTGTGTGGCCAGAGACGTGGGTTCAATCCCCGCCCGGACAGTCTTCTTCTGGTTTCCGCCTACCTCTGAGGACTTCAAGCTGGCTTAAAATCGGTCACTTCCGTATCCAAACGCACTGTGAGTGAATGACTTTGCATCCGTGGTCTATAGGGCGCACGGGTGGTTTGCCCACTGAACAACCTTGCGGTCACGAGGAGAAGACGGCTTGAACAGGCGGTGGGTTTCTTTTGGTCTTTTACCCATGTTGGGATCAGCTTTGATGCCTCTGGATCCATCATACCTCTCTCACGCTCAGTCAGATCCGGTTAATTTGAATATTGGGAATAATGCTTAACTTCCTCTTCGCCTGTTTGTTTACTTCAGGGTGTTGTACATAATATTATCGTCTGTTACTGATAAGATATCTGACCTGGCAGTTTCATTCACTAACCTTCACTTGTAACTCACTCGTCTAAGATCGCCTGTGAACTCGGATTCACCTCTTGACAAACCTCACATGATCCCGATATTTTCATCCCATGATCACTGTATCCTCACCTTCAGATCTCCTTGCCCTGTTCGGTCAGCTCATAACTCTTGCTTGCCTGTCACTTTCATCAGCTCCTGACCAATCTGAGCTCGCCTTCAACTTCTTCTCATCATAAAGACAGGCAAGTTTCGCAACGGTTCAACTCGTCTTTGCACCAAAACCAGAAGTCGCCTCTCCTGCGTTCAATTCTCTAAAGAACCCAAAGCTCAAGCTTAAGTACTGGCTGTTGTCTTCAAACCTCACAAACTCTTTGCGCCATTCACCGTTCTTCAACCCTCACAATATTATCTCCCAACCTTCTTTCTTGACCTTGCCTCTCATCGAAATTCGCATCGCAATCAATAGCCACAGACGGCCACTCATTTCGTTTTCCGCTTCGGTAAGAAACGCAATGTCTTTGCTTCAAAGAACTCCTTAATGACAGCATCTTCCTCCTCTAGACCAGCCTCAATCAACCCAAAATGGGGAACAGCAAGAAGTCGGCTTCTGCCAAGGAGAGGCTATTCCTCCGTCAAGGACCGCCAGAATCGCGCAAGCCCGGCAACCAGCCGCAGAAGAAGAAGAAGAAGGCCAACCTGAAGCTGCACGCGTTCGTGGCTTATGCCATTGAGGCCAGGGAATACTGGACTCAGGATGACGAGAAGAATGACGTCTACCTGGGACACCACGAGATGGTGGCGGCGGTCGACATCTTCCTCAACAAGCTTGAGATGGACGACATGGCTTCGGCCAGGGAGGCCTACCTGACTCGCCCGAAGGAGGCGCGCTGGGTTCTCAACAGTCGGACAGGGGGCCAGTCCACGGTGACGGACAACGTGAAGGGTTATGACGGCAGCGCCAACGATGGTGGCGGAGCCGACGAGGATAACGGCGGGGAGAATGCGGAGGACGACCAGATGGCGGACAGTGACGAGGAGAACCCCGAGGGAGAGGGGATCGAGGAAATCGAGCAACTTCAGAGTCGCCAAGCTGTGTGCGAGAACGAGGAGATGCAGAACGTCACCGAGGAGATGGCGGGGGGTATCGCAGGGCAGAACGGTGAGGGGATGGAATTCGGCGGCAACATGATGGAAGGTGTGGAGGAGACTGGAGCTCAGGGGCCAGCAATGACCCTGAGCTTTAGAAGCCCTCGCTCCGGTTGAGTCCGAGGAGATTGAGTGCCACCACAGGGGCCACGCTGTTAACGAGAAAGAGGAGATGCGGGATGTCACCTGAGAGATGGCAAGTGCGGCCGACAAGATGAAAGTTGTTGGGGAGACTGGAGCTCGCTGGGTCGAGAAGAACGACGAAGTCAGCTGATGTGGACGTCCAGGGAACGAATGTAGAGGTAGTACTGTAAACGTCCAGGGAACGAATGTAGAGTCAGTACTGTACAACAGACGCACATTATCTTGAGCAAGCGGAAGCGCAGTAGGGCCCATCATCAGCTTCGGCTCCTGTTAAACTATCCATATCTGACCTGTCCAGCACCTTCGCGGAACCAGTCCTCAGACTGAACAGCCTCGTGACCGCTGGCGTAGTTGATGATCGTGCTCTTGGTCGTCGTGTAAGCGTTGTACGCTTCAACGCCGTTCTCACTGCCCACACCACTGGCCGTCTTTCCGCCACCCCACGGGCTACTCGGGTCGTTACGATGATGGGTGTTAACCCACACGATTCCGGCCTCGATCTGCTCGGATACACGGAACGCCTGGGCTAGGTCTCGTGTCCAGATGGCAGCTCCTAGACCGAACTCGCTGTCGTTGGCGAGCTGGATTGCCTGCTCTTCATTGTCAAACCCAGCCACCACGATGACTGGTCCGAAGGCCTCTGCGAACCAAATTCGTGTTCTGAGAATGGCGTTGGGTGTCTTCCCCGCGAGTATGGTAGGAGGGTAGAAATACCCCTTGGAGAAGTCCGTTCCGTCAAGGGCACTCATGCCACCCATCCGTTGGCCGCCGCATATTACTTCTCCGTTACCGCTGGAAATGGCATCTTCGACAAGGACCTCCACATTCTTGAGCTGGCGCGCGGATATCAGGGGGCCCATCATTGAGTGCGGATTACTGGGAGCTCCCATACGGCGAGTGATGGACTCAGCTTTCGCCTTTAGCTTCTCCGTCACTTCATTGACGAGTGCCTTGTAGACAATAAGCCTCGTGGCGGCGACACAAGTTTGTCCGCTTGCGATGAAAGCCCCGAACGCCGCGCCGTTGACGGCAGCTTCGACATCCGCCTCTTGGAAGATCACCACTGGAGCCTTCCCTCCAAGCTCGGCAGTGTACTTCGTCAAATTGCGTCCGACGATCGACCCGATCTCCCGTCCGGCGGCCGTGCCTCCCGTCACATCCACTTTCTTCACAAGCGGATGCTCAACAAGAGCCTTGCCCGTCACCGCTCCGTAACCCGGCAGTACTGAGAACACACCGTCAGGAATCCCAGCCTCCTTGAGGATCTTCCCCAGCATCAGCGACGTCAGCGGCGTGAGCTCGCTCGGCTTCAAGACGACGCTGTTCCCCGCCGCCAACGCGGGCGCCAGCTTCTTGACGGCAATGAGCAGTGGGTGGTTGAAGGGCGTGATCTGCACGACCACGCCGAGGGGTCCGCGGTCGGTCCAGTTGTGCAGCTTACCCATGGTCGGCAGCACCGAACGCTCCTCGGTGCGCAGCAGGGAGGCGTAGTACTTGAACCACCGCACCAAGGACGGCACCTGGGCGGCCATCTCACGGGTTGCCCGTCCGGTCTGCCGGACCTCGAGCGGGATCAGATCCGGTAGGGCGGCGGTCAGGAGGGAGGCGATCTTGTCGAGGGTGTCGGCGCGGGTGTGCCGCGATGCTTTGGACCAGACGCCGCTTTTGAAGGCGGCGTGGGCGGCTTGGACTGTTTCATCTACATCTTGAGATGAGGCGGCGTAGCAACTGGGATTATGGTTAGGATTGGCTGCTGCATGTTCGGGAGATACTGTGGCTGACTTACTGGGCGAATATCTCTCCGGTGGAGGGATCCTCTATTGGTATCCTTTGTCAGGGATGACATTAGCGTACATCTTGTGGGAAAGAGCTCACAAAGGGCGGCCGTGTAAGTGGCTGGAGTGTAGAAGAAAGGCTGCTCACACATGGTTTGCATTACTCCCTGCCCGCTCTTCTCCTGCCACCCAGAAGGGCCACGGCGAATCTATCATGTTGGCGGACGGTGAAGTGAAGCTACAGTTCAAAAACAGTCAAGAGGAATTCTGCAGATTTCTAGAAGATTTCTATCAGGCGTCAACGAAACCTGTGATGGGAGGAACTGGTTTATATCGGGATGTCTGAGATAAGGCGGTGTTGTGTGGTGTTGTGTGAACCGAGTGACCAATAATCGGAAGGTATCACCCGAAACAGCTGCTTAGTCATCGATAGATTGCTATGTCCCTGGCCACCTTCCTTCCCATCTTCAATGTGAACTTAACAACTGAACGCTTTGAAATGACGTTCAGAAATTCCCATTTAGGCATGAAGTCGAACTTCAATCACATTTGGCATTTATTTATTGAACTATTACAGGTACCTCGAGTGTTACAACGACATGACGCACAGTGATCGGCTCTCCATGTAAGACTGCCTTGGGCATCCCAATACCAAACGAACGCCTTTCCGCATTAGGTACAAATAGGGGGTATCGCAAACAAACAAAGCTGGAACAAGTAGACTTACAGCTCCCATACAACACGCCATCATATCATTGCGTTGACTGATCACTCAATCCCCGAACCACAACATCCCTATGCACAGCAATCCCATGATCGGGCACCCTCGACCCCTCCGCCTCAGGCGGCTCGGGTGTACTCGCCTTGATCTCGGTCCTCACAGACGGCTGCAACCCCAGGACTCGGGCACCCTTGTCCGACGGTGGGATTGGCGGCGCAAGTTTAGGTCCGGTGTGAGCACTCTCGACACTCGGCCGGTTCGACTCGAGGTCGTGCTTCAGCTTCAGATCCTCCAGGCCGAAGACGCCGTCTGAGAAGTCGCCTTCGCTGTTGATGCGCTGCAGCTCGAGGTCCTCGGTGTGCAGGACGGTTGAGGGGTTGACGTAGGTCCGCTCGGAGTCGACGTTGGAGGGCTTGCGGTCATCATGGGAATGGGCATGGGCATGGTCGTCGTTGATGGTGGCAATGGCGGTCTGGTAGGCGTTTGTGCCGTCGTGGCCGGCGGAGTTGTTCTCGTAGCTCTCGGATGTCCTCTTGTGGTGATGTGTCCAGCCTAGGTGAGGGAAAACCTTGGAGATCAGAGGTCGCAGTACCGGCAGGCAGACGCAGAGGATGGCACTGCAGAGCTCGCCGATGGACCAGCAAGACGAGGGGACGTTGTCCCAGGTAGTGTCTTCTGACAGGTGCAGGTACTGGATCCTAATGATGGATATTGCACAGGTCTTGCAGTTGAATGTGTCAGTTTCTCAATCGCCCTTGAAGGTAAGATCCGACCGACTTACGAAGAACCCAATACTAAAGATTCCTATGAGCAGGATCTTCTGGGGCCGTTGAAGGTTCAAGTGCCG